AATAACAAAAATTAATAAAATGTACTACAATTATTTAAAAATATACTGTATATTAATTATATTACGCAAGACAACTTTACAAATTGCTGATACTATTTCTATAAATTAGAAACACAAAAAAATARTACCATGATTAATAGTTCTTTCAATAATTTACTATAAAATTTCAATTATAATTTATTATAAAAAAACACGGACCAGGGGGGGGGCGATCCACCTATCGCCCCCCCCCTTATAACCGCCACTGATACATTACCTATTGATTAGTATTTACCTCAAATACAATTGATCCGCGTTTGATTCATTGATTTGTATAATATCATAATATAATAATATAACCTGTAGATATTAATTGTAAGTTGTACCTATATTATTATACTAACACTTAGTATTATTATTATATATTATAAAAAAACAACAATGAGAGTGAATTCATTTTTAAAATAATAACCTTTTATAATACAAAATTAAAGTAATTTAAATGAATATTATGTAATCATCGTGCATGTTAAAAGTTAAATTAAAAGAATTATCATCTAAATTATGTACCTATTTAAGAGCTACATATTTTTAATTGGGTTTGTGTGGTCGTATCTGTTATTTCGAATCTTAGGTATTACGCATGATTTCATGGTAAGCTATTATATTTATTTATTTTGTTGMACATTCACAATGGTTAAAATATCAAGTCTCTAAAAATGAAGTTTAATATTTTGATTCAATTATTGAATTCTATGAAAACTGATTTGAGGAATAAAATATTATTTACTTATTAGTGTAAAAGTATTTAAAAAATAATATAACATATATATTAGGTTGTCGCGCGATACTAATATATAAGTAGGTAAATGATAGTATTCGTTCTTAGTTTAAAATATTTTCTATTATATCATGCATATGTTTTATGCGAATACTTGACCCAGTTTTACAAACGTTTATTTTTTTAAATTATTTTTCGAAGGTCCGAAGTTTTGTAAATATAATGGCCAACGAGGAATAATAACTCATGTAATATTATATAAGTTTAGTTTCTAAATATATGATGMATTTTTATTTTCGTTCCCAAATTTTCTGGGAATATTCAATATATTTATTATAATAAAATATATAAATTGCATACTTTTTTAATAAATTGTGATTTTTATAAACGTAAAAATAACTGATAAGAATTGTAAATGACAATAATTTTTGTAATTTATTATAGATCATTTATTAAGTTTAACGTATACCTACAATGAGTTTAAACTTTAGATTGTTTTATATATATACGAGTATATGGATCGATAGCACGGTKTTGTGTCCATATAATTTTATTTAATAGTTCAAACAGTTCAATAGTTTGCGGAGAATTTTTCCAATGAAGTCTACGAATCTATTATAATATAATATTAGTTTAGGAAAATACAATAAGCTATAATACCAACAAATAACGATGGTATTCAACTTTCCTAATGCTTGAAGTTATTATATAAACAATACATAACGCCACTCCATAATATGGTCAAATATAGTATGGTAACTTAAGAGAAGGTATGGATTTTATTATTATTTGACATCTTGGATTAAACTATTAATAATTGTTTTACAGTTATTGCATGTCGGTCGTTTCATTGGTTTATTTCATTTCAGTTTTGAGGTAATAACAAACCAAATACGTGTGTTTTCCTATATACTTACTAGTGTTTAATTTCATGACATTCAACTTAAGTACTTACAGTAAGTTAATCCACACTTTAGATACGATTTTATATTATTTTATTATATTACATAAATTTCCACCATTGTGTAAATTTTTTGATAGTTTCTTAAAATAATTATTTCAATACCTATCAACCTAATATAATTAAGATCATGCGGAAATATGGATAGGAGATTTAGGTAGRTATAGTATGTTAACCGATAATCCACATCACTGAAGTCGCGAATAAATATAACTAGTATTTCATGATCTATAAACTATAGGGATATGATAATTGTATTTAAATACATTTCAATACTAAAATTATTAAAATTATCTGCAACGTGGTCGGGGGACCTTGTTACGATATTATAGTTATCCAGGGAAGGTTTTCTATTCCTTATGGATAAGTTTTCCGTAGCTGGGAGTTAGAGCACTGTGTATAAGATATTTTATCAATAATGAGACACGTTTGGTTTATAGATCCATATTAATTATTAAATTAAAAATAATACTTTACTAATGTAGATGGCTGTTAATAAGTGTAGGTATTGGTGAGTTAGTTACCTAACCTGGGGCACAGACCGTGTACAGCCGACATCCAGGATATAATTTGCGGGCCGCCATTTGACCAGCTTCCAGCAGACCCGGATGAAAAGTTGGATATATTAAGGTACGCGGAGGAGTCCTCTCGGCTGTTCTACAGAATGGCCGAACGTATCTTCTCACGCAAAGAAGAAGAGGAGCGAGTCCGCCAGGCTGCGGAGGTGCGGCGATGAGAAATTATTGTTGTAAAAATTTTTGATGTATAAATTGTTGATGTATAAAGGCTGTTGTAATATTAGTGAGTGGGGGATTGTCCCACCACTAATAATTGTCGTTGTTATTGTTATCAATAAACGATGGGAGTCAGAGGAGAAGTAATGCTAACGCGGTTCCTTCTCTGGCTCTCGATACAAAAGGAAAAAAAAAAGGTATTACCTGTGATACTGCTACCCCTAATTCCATCTTTCCACCAAATTGATGTTGAAAAAAACACTCAGCACACAGTACACCAGATAAAATATTATAATAATGATAATAAAACAACAACTGAACAAATAGTTTTACAAGAAAAACGTTTTGTATTATAAATAATATTGTACATAATAGTATTAATCATAAGAGATATGTATTTTATATATAATATATTAATACATAATCCTATATAAGTATGTATACACAGGAAGATACGGACTATTCTAAACTATGAATTTTATAGTAGATATTTAATAAATTAAAATGATATAGTAATTAACATTAAACATTAGAAAACGCGTCGTGTTAAAAATATATAGAACTTTAATATTAATATTTAAGTAAGGTTTGGTCAGAGTTCAGATTAGATTAAAAGTACACAAAGTATTCTGCTTTCCTGAGCGTTTGGATGATAGTACTTACAATTACCAATCTCAAGATATTACTTTTTATTACGATTGAAAAAATTCGGACGAAATGTTACAAATTAAATAATATATAATATAGGTTTCAGAAGTTAAGTTCAAGTAGTTTTAATATTATTATTTAATATTTGTTATAGTAGCAATGTTATACTGACGTCATGTCATAATAGGAATATATAATATTACATGCTATTTATAGAACACTATAGTAACGTATAAGAGCAAAGTAGAAAATTAAAACATCCCATATTCTTATACGAGAACAATAAATTGTTGTACATATAAATATTATTTAGTCGGTGGTTTTTAGAAAATTTACTAAATATTATGATTGAATATTCTAYGATAATAAGTCAATTTAATCAGACTATTAAACATTTTTTTATTCAGGGCTGGGACGATCAATAGCGGCGCTCCTGGCAAAATAAAAATTTGCACCCCCTCACTAGATTTTCAAATTGAATTATATAAAATTTTGCGCCCCTGACAGGTGCCCACCTTGCCAGGCCCTCGGCCCGGCCATGTTTTGATTATATGCGTATACATGAAATGTAATAATATAAATTTGACAAACGAGGTAACATTTCAAAAAGTGATCATATCGGTCSAGATTTCCTTATATTAAATCAGATAACTAAACTCAGTATACAACAGAGATGGAAACAACGCTTTCTTAAAATTGATACCAATATACAATGGTTAAATGGTACTATGGTAGGTAGAATGCACACTATTTTTAAGATTAGATAAGTTCATATTACTTATCATAACTTATTAAGTTGAGTAAATACAGAAAAAAGGTAATTTATGTTTCTTGTTGCGATACTTAAGCTAAAAATTAGATTTAATAAATACTTTATTTGCACTTTATAATATATATTTTGTTCAGTTTCCAGTGGCATTATAAATAGGGATGGTTCAATAATATAACATATATATCAGCAATTAGTGTAACATAAATTTGAATTTTATACGCCTTTACATAGCATGATACTTCAGATACTCCTCTATGCACAAAAGWGACATTGGGGATTTTTATAAATTTATAAAAATATTTGAAATTTAAAGTTATTTTTGATGTAWTATTTCCTTTAGCACCTTTTTCATTAGTTTTCTATGTGGTATGTTCCTATAAATAAAAAATAGGTAGTTATGGTTAGTTATAACCTGTAAGTGTATATATGGTTAGAAATTGTGATACATATAAATATATATATATATATATTGATTCGGTAAATTTGTCGTAAGATCAATTATATTTGATAAAATTATTGGAAATCCGTTGAAGGTCACACGATTCCTGAGATGCCTTTTATTTCAACCGGACGCTGCGGCTGTTTTGGCGGCAGCGATGGCAGCCCTAGTATTACCAGCGTGGTACCTAAATCCATTGTACGGCTGTGGCGTAACTGGACTTCCAAACGGATCTCGACCTTTAGCTTGGCTGTCTTGCCGCGTGTGCACGCCACTCCCGATGCTGTCCCGTCTTGCTCGCAAGCCACTGCTGATGCTGTTACTGGGACCTACGATGTCCGGAAGTGAAAATCGACCACCGGCGCTCCGCCGATCACCCGCACTGCCGATTTCGTCATCCTCACCACCTCCACCGCTGTCTCTGTCCGTTCGTGGTATGTCGAACGCTTGTCGGCTGACGATGGATGCGAGCGTTGAGGCTGCCGAGTTGAGCCCATCGTCGAATATCTTGTAAGGCCCGTCCATCAATGACGAAGACTSTACGTGGTCAACCATTTCCAGTGATCTGTGGTAATATACACAATCAAAAACAGTATACATATTAGAACATGACAAAATTAACTTTATATATTTATCATGTATTACTGTATTAGATATTATGAAATAAAGCTAACGGTGTTTYATCCAAATTTCGTCATCTATGCTGCAAAACCCGAAACTGTGATTTGCAATTTTATATCCCTATAGTTTAACCATCTTGGCTTAATATGTTTTCCAAATCATGACAACAATTTTTCACTGATAAATATATAAAGTTAATTTCGTCATCTATGCTGCAAAACCCGAAACTGTGATTTGCAATTTTATATCCCTATAGTTTAACCATCTTGGCTTAATATGTTTTCCAAATCATGACAACAATTTTTCACTGATAATATGATTGTTATTGTTTTTATTTTTATTTTGTAAATATCAATATAGGATAGACATAGTTAGAAAAATCACAATTACTTGCGTATGAGGATATAAACGTAAAAACCATTTTGTTTTGTAATGCAACGTATGGTTAAACGGATTATACGAGGCCACTCCTCAAATGTCCATTAGGACAAGAACAGGTGCAGAGTAAGGCAGAGATTTGGACGAGTTCCGATTAAAATGTCTACAAAAATATGAAATACATACGTTAAAATGTAATTCATTTAGCAAAATTCGTTAAAATTAAAATTAATCCAACTGTGAAGGGTAAATATCAGATGAGTAATTAAAAATAATATAATCCTTATCAGTTATCACTGTCAATCGGTTTATAGCCAATATTTTAAGGGATCAAAATGATATGATGGAATTGTTTTGTTCRTGTTTATTTGTCACGAAATAATAATAATAATTTAATCCAGTAAATTATCAATTGTTTTTTCATTTACATTTGTATCCGATTTGGTGATAATGTTTTTGCTGTGTAAATTTATTTCCGAGCTTGATTTAAGCATACATGGTAATTTATAAATTAGGATTAACTCGTTTTGGCGAACATTTGAACTTTTTACTTYTATTTACATTTTTGTAACGCTAAGTGAAAATATACATTACCTATGCATGAAGTACCTGAGTAGGTACCTATTTTTTATATAGATTATTGTTTGGTGTATGTGCCTATATTATTTAAAATAAGTGCAGACTTTAAGTACTACTACTGAGTAAAACTGAAATAAAAAAATTGAATAATTGCTTAGTTTAGGCAACCGGTAAATCGGATTACTATTATGCATATGATAAATATGTATGTTTACATTTTGAAGTATGGTAGAATGCTTATATAGGGATTAAGTCTGCAGGCGTGGGACCGTTGAAATTAATGCTGTCAGGGTTTGAATCAATTCATGTCATCGGCTTATTTAAATTTATATATACAAATAATTGTAATTTTATAAAAAAAAAAAAATACGTTTCGTCTATTTCCTAATGGCTTAGTTGCTTAGTATGCATTTATACATTTTTTTTTTTTGTTAATCTAAAAATTTAGAGTTACTTTGATTTTTCTAATAAAATCAAATATTAAATTATATTATATCATATTATAAGTATTCATAACATGGCTATTCAAAACAATATAGYAGTGGTTTTCAAATATTTATTAAACACGGCTCACTGTGCTCTTTAAARAATGTTCACAGCATAACKTCMCCTTTTTTGAWTTTTTTTTGCGCTAAATTGAATAGACGAAATCGTTTTCAACTATAATTACATTATTTAATTGAAATCATGTGCTTGATAGGCGTTACAAATATCTTTAATTCTTGGATGGATAATTTACCAACATACCTTGATTAGCTTGATTTCTTCTTCCACAAGTTGATTTTTTAGTATATAAATATTAAATACATAATAATATATATATTATATTATATCAAATGTATAAATAGTTAACCTCATTCTATTAATTTTATTGTAAAATTTATACCACAATTCAATAAAATCGGTAATATATGAAAACAATTTTCAGAAGAACGTGGAATATTATTATAGTACCTAAATGCTCGAGGCACCATTTTGAAAACCACTGGCATGTAGTAAAAATACATAGAAAATGTTCTGGTAATAGTGATAATTAAAATAAATATGACTCCACTCAATATAATGAAAACAATGTATGATATCTGTAATCTTAAAGGGTTTTTGATTGTTAAAATAGTTTTAAAGGTTAGTTAGGTACTTAAAAAATTTTATTTTATTTTATAATATTATCAATTATCATTATTACGATATAACTGTTATGGAATCAATAAACATAATACAATCTAGTATATAATATGTTTGTATTTATGCCTATAATATACGGTTTGTGAGTATTGTACACATGTAATATACGTATTGACAAAGCAATTTATAAACTTTGTACTCGATATTACATTATCACGCATTCAGGTAGGTACAAAAGGGTCAAAAACAAATTAAAATATTTTTAATTTATAACCATCTGTGTTTGTCGTTCAATCTGGTTGTAAAGGTAGGTTACCTAAATAATTAATGACCGGTAATTTGAAGTGTTACTATTTATTTATTTATTTACGGTTTTATTGCCAATAAATTGAATATAGTTCTTTTAACCCTATAATTTTAGTCCAATGCCAATTTACTTAAGTACACAATATATTTCAGAAACGCTATATATATGGTTGCATGTGTATGGAAATGCAGATAGCTAGTAGGCATACCTATAGACTTCCATACATATTTAATGCACACGAATTATYTGAAAATACTTCTTGTTGAATTTAAATTTATTGCGTGTTAGATATGAACCTTATTCGAGGAAATCATAGTTAATGGATTTGGAATCAATGTTACTCTTTTAAAAATACGTCAGTGTTTTATGCTAATATTTCGTTTCATTTCAACTTATTGAAATATAATATAATCAACTATAATTTTATACACGATTTAAGTATACTTATCTGTTTCAAAACGATATGAACCATAAACTTCATACAACCGAAGAGTTTAATACATCAATACAGTTACCTAGCATATTTTATCCTATTTACTTGTCAAACTTCGTTAACAAGCGACGTTAAGTACAATTTCTTTATAGTGTGGACTTCTGACGCGATAAACATGATTATGTATTAACCTAAACCCGAACACAATTTTTGCGCAATTGTTCTTTGAGCCTGGTTATAATTTATAAAATTAGCATTTTAAACAATGGCATCACATTCGAGTTCTACTATGCTTGCAACCTTAGAAGCCGTTAGTTGGTTTTATTGAAAACTTGTCTACTTTAGTTTTAGAAAGTTTACAAGACTAATTAAATGAGACGGATAAATTTTGAAGTTTCCAATGAAAACTTATTCACTGGAATTCCTGTGGGGATTCTAGTTGATATGTTAATTTTATATGAAACAGTTCGGACAATTATTTAGCCACCGTACTTTGAATTATATAATAAACGACTTATTATATTCGTCATTGACTGTAAATATGAAACTATCATATACCATGATCAAGTAGGGGAGTTAATATTTTCACAATTCACGAAGATTTATATGTAATTATAATTTTTTTTTTTTTACCTTTTAGTTGATGTTGGTTTTAACGGTGCTTTACAACTATCCGATGATGTTTTTCTTCGGTTCTTGAAAGAGCTCACGAAATTACTTTTACTGAAAAATAATAAACTTAGGTAATGTTATTTCTAAAATAATAAAAACTTAGACCTTATACTTATTTCCGATCCYTTTTTTATCTATTTCTTTTTGATAAGTCATAGGTAAATCCGTTTTTTCTCTTTCCAATTTATTATTTTCCTAAAACATAATATTTATTTATTTAATTAAAAAAAATAACAATATTTTTTTGGACAAAATTTGTTCTATATTATGTATGTAATCATAACAAGTAACTTTATTAAATTTATGCGTGATAATTTATGTTTTTTGTTCTAAAAGTATACAATTTCTTTGTTCGTATCCATTTTTCTTGTATAGCTCGCAACAATCCATTAAAGATAAGCTCTGTCATTCATGAGTTATTCAATATAAGCTTTGTTAATGTCGTTTATTTAAGTATAAATATAAGACACATATAAATATTATAATCATTGTTATTCATCAGTTTTAAAGACATTAAACAATTCTTAACTCTAAAGGAAACGTGACGTTTTTGCTTAAAATAAGAAATTATGTAAATGAAAATTTAATTCAAAATGTTAAATACAAAAAATATAGATTGAATGCTGAAAACAGATGACAGACTTTGAGTAGGTACTCGTCTTGCTTCATGATATATATTATATAATGAAGTGTATGATATTATTTATAATAAGTTTGAAAACTATACCTATAGTATACCATTGTATTACGAAAACGATTCAATACGGAGCTTGGTTAAAATGTTCATACTGAAGTGCTTTCAATATTCTATTACGGTTGTCATTAGTTTTTTATAAATATTCGTAAAGAATATTACCTATAAAATTAAAAAATATATTTCTTCTAAATACCAATTAGTCCCCCCCTCTTATAACCCTTTTTAAAAATGTATGTTAATAACATTTATATATTTTTTTAAACGCATGCCTATATACCTTTAATATTTTTAAATTATAATTATAACTACTTACACTAACTATCTACCTACTACTTTAGTCTGAATTGTATATGTTTATTAAATTTAAATTATTAATTTTTTTGATAACTTTTTCTTTATCAATTATCACCAAAAACTGTACTTTATTGGAATATTTAAAATTAACAATTTATTTTATATTGTCGTGGGTAACTTCCCACTCAGTAATTTCCAATTATTTTAAACTTTATAAAAATTTTGTATCTATTGTATTACCGTAATGTATAGATTGTAACTATGCTTTTTTTATATTATACTAAATTAACGAATTTTTAAATTTATCAGTATTCTTTTATAGATATATTAGATAAAATAGTAATAAGTAATCTGAAAAGTTATAAATTAAAATTTTAAAATTTTTACATTTGTTCACTTATAAATTATATATTATATTATTTTTATGTTTATATTGTTTTTTAGCCATAAATTTGTGATTTTTTTGTATTTATTAAAAACTGTTTGATTGTATCTATTGTTTATAGCTTATTCTTATACATAATATATATTCATATATGTGTTATTATTACTTAACTTTTCAATGTTTTTTTTTTATTTTATTCGTGTTTATGGTTTATATTCCTCTAAATAAATAATAAATATCTGTATTTTTATTTACCAAATAAACTTCTAATGGCTATATCTCATGTTTGTWTAACTTTTCTGGATTCATATGAAATTCAAATTTGATAAAAGCATTGGTTATAAAAGGTAATTTGATTAAACAATAAGTAAGTAGGTATGTTTTTATAGTTATTCCAAGTAACATTTATGTATTTTAAACTTAATGAAAGTAACATCTAACAATTGAAAATTGTTATTGGGGATTAAAAACAGATAAGAAATGCGTACGAAGAATGTTGTCATTTATGTAAATGCTTTTTAATTAAGGAAAAGAAAATTTGTTTTTAATAGTTATAGTTAAAACAAAGTTGCAGTTTTCGAAGTTAATTAAACTTAAGTTTAATACAGCATTTGCATTGAATGTAAATGTAATTGATAATTTGGTTTTGAGGACTTCTTGCATGGTTTTTGAACTGTTAATTCGATTTTTGTAATGTTGGGTAATTTACTGTACATGATTTGACGGCTTTTGTTCTTATTATTGTTAATATTTTGATTAGATACATTCCTGAACTATCTATTCAAAATCCGTAACAGTGTATATATAATTTAGCTTATATCAAATAGTTGTATACTAATRTCAGAAGACTTCAAACGAAGAAAGCTATTTTTTTTTTTTAGAACATTGCTGAAAATGGCTCACTAGTCATGGATAGAAGTTGTTGATTCCAAGTAAGTAGATACCTTCGTAAATTATGTAATACTTGCAAAATATTGAAAATACTTAAATACTAGATTTAGTTAGTTAACCGAAAAGTTATTGCCAGCTTAGCTAGGTAATATAAGGCTATTTGTTGTCTATGGTGAATTTAAATTACGTGAGTTCGAGCATCGTTATTAAGCTAGATATACTATGGCTATTTTGGGATAACCTCCGGGGCTTTGGTACTGGTATTTTCAGATTTTCCATAAAACTATAGTAATACCAAAGAGGCGAACGTAGGACTGACAAACGCTGGTTAAATAAATTATGCTTGGGACAATTCAACTCGATCGTGTAGCCAACCAGGCAATGACTGTAAAATGGTCCCTTGTCGACCACTTTTTGTCGCTTTATACCAGAATTGTATAACGTTTCGTTGGATCCATATTTTTAAAACTTTTTGCTTTCCCACTCAACATTTTTGTTGAGATGAGTTATTATTACTTTTAAATTTGATACTATAATTGGCATAATACTGTACTTCACTTTTCTATCGATGAGTTGAATAAATAGGCTTCACGCTAAACCGGAATACGACCAGTAGGATTGTAATTGTATTGACTGTAGAGTTATGTTAGTRTAGTAAAGTTGTACATAATTATAATCCGATTTTTAAACACCAAATTTAAACTAAACTAGTTATTATTTTTTAAGTACTATGGAAGAATTCAATTCTGTAAGATAATACTACAAATATTTTTTTCATACTTACTTATAACACTTATAAGTTATAACCAGCTATAGAAATCTATTTTTTGGAAATAATAAATAGAAGAAAGAAAATATTGATAAAAGTATAAGAGCTTTTTTCTATAAAATTCAATACAAAACCTTTTTTTAAATGCCTTTATCCACCTCCCCCCCTCATTATGTAAGTAAACTAGTAACTTTTTGACATTCGAGGATCAAACGTTTGTAAACGAATATCTCGTATTCCCTAGAGATTTGATTGTGGTATACAATTTGACTGAAACCTTTGAATATATGACATTCATATTCATATTTTTAAAAATATTAAATTATTAATCGCATTACAATGAAAATGTAAATAAACAAAGCATAAAGAKAGACATGTCTCTATCGGGGTTTTTACACGTTGTTTTTGATAATGAAATATTATATTATACCTAATAAAAAACCCAATTTGCACTATTAAGTCATACACTTAAATMAATTATTTTTATAGTGTGTTATTATTATTACATTATGCTCGTAGTTCATGCATATTTTTAGTTATAAAATGTTATTTAGTATTCACATTATTTTTTCTGATTGTTTTAATAATTAATAAAGTTCCAAATATGTATTGTGTACATTATAATATGTATATAAAAAATAACATAAATATTGAAACATTTTAGTGGAATTATAGAAGTATCGTAAATCATATTTAAATTAATCTAAAATATTWAAATTGCATTCAACTTACCATTTCTATAATTTGAGTGTTTAGAGAGCTGTTTATCGAAGGCGTTTCTACTTTGTCAATATATTGGCCACGTGCTGGAATTATTGGAGACCTTATACATGCCCTGAAAATATCGTCGTTCTAACATTTTAATAATTTTATGGGATTGTGTGGCAGTCGTTGAAGCTGTGAATCGTGATATTTACGTACATTATAGGTAATATAACTTTTGACTTATGTTTCTTATGGAAATATAAGTGACATTCTTATAGGTTTTTTATTTCTGTATTTATTAAAAACTTTGATAATTATTATTTTTACCTATTTTGATTTTTGGAATTAAAAGAAAATAACTCAGTAAGAAGTATTATTTTCTGTGCATTTTTATGRCATAGACATTATAAATTATTAATTTAAATTTATTATTTGTTGATAAAATCAATTCTCAACCCGTATAGTTTAAAACAATATCGTTCYAACAGCAATTTTTAGTTATATTATGTATTTAATTTCATATACACATGCACAATACTCAATCCCACTGGGAAGGCTTGTATTTATTATGAATTATAGTAAAAGTAATAATTATAATATATTGCTTAAGATAAAATAAAAATATGTAACATACATTGACTATACGTCACATTTTCAGTATTGAATTCTGTTGTAATGACAAACTTTTAACGTGATACATTTTGTCCTGCTTTACAAATAAGTTCAGTTTTCCCCCTTTTTATCCGAATAAAAAATAATAACGAAGATCCATTTTTTTCATTTATTTAGAATGTTATTACTGTGAATAAATATAACATTAATCTATAATCTATGATTATAGAATATTCATAGGTTCTTCCTGGAAAAAAATGTATATGTGAAAAGAATATTTACAATAATAAATGTTTTATGGACATATAAAAAAGTTGTTTTAGTATTGAAATTATTGTTCGATCGATAATTATTTTTAAAAAAACACTTGAGCCTTTAAAAACTTTACATTTTCACAATTTCATGAATGTATTTGTTGATACACTCAAATTATTATCTTAATAATGTATTATGGTCATCCTAATATAAAAACATTAATACTAAAAAAATAAGTTGCTTGTAAAAATAATCAAATAATAAGTTATGGACTATGAATACCTTTGATAAAACAAGGCAATTTAATTAATCGTACAAATCAATATTTTTAAATTATACTTGACATTTTAAAATATTTAATTTTAGAATATTGTACGATTACGAGTAATTGCTTTAGTGAGTTTAGTTCTCGTCATAAGGGTTGCTGTATGGGTTTATTTAGTTAGTTTCATAATAATGACATCCATTTAATACTTTAATTTTGATCTGTACGTGTTGATAATTAATGTGGTATATGGTGTGTTACCAAGAGATTAAGGAATAATCAAATAAAACAGTAGCAGTGACGTATTTAAAACTAAAATATTAATTTAGTTTTTAAATTACATAAGGGATAATTTTCTTGGTTTCTTTAATTTTTAATATGTGTACATCATGTATACATATTAATGYAGCCGCACGAACTACGAAGGGTTTATGGTAGCTTGCGTTTATTATTATTTTAAATTATTTAACACATTATTCTTATAACTGACAAGCACCAAGCAGATATATCCACGTTATTATTAATATGGTTATTTCCCTTTTAAAAATACAATTTTCATTTTTGATTGAAAACCCCGAGTGTTTTGTTTTTGTTATCTTGTTATCAAAAAGCTAAAATAGTTTTGAAAGTTTATAATAGATAGATAGAAGTTCAACAAAACTGTGCTGTAGAAACCAAAGACAAAAAAAAACATAACAGTATAACCAAGAATTAATCAAGCAAGAGACACACGTACAACATTTTATTGCTATGAGACGAAAATAAGAAACAAAAATAGAAACAAAATCACAAAATCGGTTATTTTTTAAAAGTATTTACGAGTTGACGTCTTCGAGTTTCTTCAGCAGCCGTTCGTTCTCCCTACAAACAATTTCGTGGTCTCTCTGTAATAGGTCCCTGGAGTTGAATAGCTCGGCGTTTTCTCTGCGTAGCGCCTCGTTTTCATTCGCGTAGTGTTTGACTAGATCCACAAGCTCCTTGGGGTCCATTTGTATTAACCGGTCCATGTCCATATTGGGTGGCATTTTTACATCTACAAGGAATAAAAGCAACGGTTACTGGTTAGGTTCAGCTCGGTTAGGGAATATTATTATTATTGTTGTTATTATCGCCATGTATAAAATTGTATTAACGTGTAACAACTAAGCGATAGCTTCGTCGAAAACGATGACTAATATTTTACCCATATAGGTATAGTGGTTGTATAAAAATTATTGTTCAGACAGTATGTCTGAAAATAAAACAAAGAAAGATATCCTTAAATTGTTTGTACCTTTATATAATAATATTTAAAAAGGCTGAAATAATGTTTTCTGGATCGAAAAGCTGTCACCAGATAAATGGTGGTATTTGATATAATATTATTAATCGTTGATAATATTGTTTAATGTGTCGAACACAGAAGCTGTATTTGAAATTCGTATTTTATTTACAAAAGGAAATAATCTTAGACTATTAGTACAATATTGCGTTATAAACTACGTACTAAATGCATGTGTTGATTCCTATCGATTTTCCGAAAAGAATAGACAACAAATTCGTTTTAATTTTATTTAAACGGATTGACATTTTAAGATCTAARGATTGATGTACCCGAGAAACACTAATATTTACTTAAATTTCATCATTTATGCATGCGAGTTCTAATAAAATGACGATGGATCATTTGTTAAAACATATATGGTAAGAATATATTTTTAAATTAAATGGATTATAACATTTTTAATATTAAGGGCTTTCGACGATTTTTCCACTTGATATTTTACTGTTTAAGTCCACCAGCCATATATTACAAATGATTTAATATCATAATTATTACTAATTGCTTAATGAAATTTACGTCACTTTTTGGAACTAATTAACCATTGTTAAATACTCAAATGCATGTAATGAATTCACTTTTTGTGTATAAAATATGACATGTTGTATCCGTAACATTGTTCCGGTTTATAACATATTAATAAATTATATACTAACAAGAGTTAAATATATTTTACTTGATATTTAGATAATTATTATAGTTATTTAGTTATTATTGTTCTAATTCCTCTGAATATGAATAATATGGTTTGAAAATTATAACCAAGAATGTGAATAAAATTGTTTAATCTGTTCAGGAGTCAGGTGGCTTTAAAATTTAAATCCAGATTTTGAACGACGTTATAATATATCGTTACATAATGTGTATTATGAATGATTTCTTTAGTTCTCAACAGTCCAAAGTCCAATATTATGAACAAGTCTACAGATGGAAATCAAGTAAAATTATACATTTGTATAATTATTGTATAGTTATATAAAACAAAAATATGAAATATAAAAATGGGGAGGGGATGTTATATTTTCTCTTGCTATCGTTTGCAGTGATAAAATAATAAAATAAAATTCATATTATATTGTATTAAAAATAAAATTATATTTAAACTATACAAAAATTGTTTTTCAATTATTTCTAGGGCGACTATAAGGTTAGATTAGGATTTTTTTTATTTTAGTATTCATTTCATGCACACTCAACTTACTTGAAATACTAGCAGACGACGTCTTGTTAATATCCAAAGCCTTTCGCAAATGATCGTTTTCGTTCTGAAGCGCCTCTACCTCGCGCCTCAAACTGACGATTAATGCTTCTCTGGGGTCCTGTTGTACAAACAAGGAACCGTAATGACACTCATACAATAGTTATAAAATAAACGTGATAATTATCGTCGTATTATTCTTAGTTATATTGTTATTTTTATTTTTACTGCTTATTAGTAATCATGTCACTGACGTGCTTGGGAATATTGCGGCACCRTTCGCAATCATTGRGTGAATGTCTGCGAGGAGATGAACAGAACAAGTATTGCATGTGTAAGCAGAATAAAAACGGCAGAGGTGGAAAGGAAAATTGAAATATCATATCATAGGTTTGGTATTTTAATGTTCAGTTTTCTGAATACATTTAAAACTTTATCGACCATTTAACTCTTTAGTGTTTTGATACTTTTTAAAAAATGCACGAAAAAATACTAATAATTGAKAGTATTAAGAATATTTAATTATTCTAACCTCGTTTACAAATCTCATTATAAAATTATACTATTATTGTTTTTTAATTTATACAATGTGTTACATACTTAACTAGGTGCCTTTATAATGGCACTTGTATAATTCCCTAGCTATATTTAGCATTACATTATTATTATAATTGTGAAGTTTAATATTTTTATACAAAGCTTAAAAAAATGTATGGTTTTAAAAATTCTAAGAGATTTCTCACTATTTTTCATTGTAAAATTGATTAAAGGAAACTGCATGGGTAAGAAAAAAATCAATGAATTATTTAAGTTTAAAAACTAGGAACAATAATTTCGCAGTAAGTACTTACTTTTATCAATTATGATTTGTGAGTTTTTTAGATTCTGAGCGGAGC